AACGTCGGTGGGTTGGGGCCGGGGTCGCCGACGGTGCCTCCCTGGCACCAGGCCGCGACCCTGCCCGGCGGGTGAGGGGTTTTCTCAGTTTCCCCTGTTACTTCCGCACTGTCGGGAGCGTCCCTGAAGTCAACCGAGTGGCTCCAATCAAGCTCTGCCTGGGAAAAGCGGTCACACTGATTAAAGATCCCGAATTTAGTTGTTTGCAGATAGGGAAGCCTGCCAACAGTCCTGCAGATCTGTGGTGGGGAGCCATGGCTGCCCTCTCTGCGGTCTCCTCGCCTTTTCTCGCTCTCGCAAGCTGCTGCCGCCGCGGTCCGGGCACCCCGCAGGGCTGGAGACCGTCCCGGTGGGAGTGGGGCTGGCTGTGCCCGCGATGGTCCCCCGGAGCGGAGCGCTGGCATTGTTTTCTGTCATAAAAGTAAGGCGGAGAGAAGGAGCATAGGTGAAGCTGGCTGGTGAATGGTGCCTTTCGTGCTGTCATATGGTTTTATTGCCGCTATACTCCGTTTGATGGCAGCCGCTGTCCCGATGAGTGCCTCCCACGGCTGCGCTAGCTGGGGAGGGCGGCTTGCCGCTCCCCGGTCACACTTTAATGTGGAAGGGGCACTTTTGGGTTGGTGTTGGGGCCAAGCGCTGGGCAGTCGTCTCCCGGCCACTTCACTTCTCCAAGTATTTTGCAAAATAGCTGCCCCGCCCCTGTCCTCTGATGGAGTACAGTTCTTCCCAGCGACTCTAATCCCCCGGGTGTTTCAGAAGGTGCCGGATGTAAAACAAGGATGTTTTCCATCTGGAAAATTTTTGAAAGGGGAAGTTGAGCCTTCATTTTTCATTAGATTCCAACGTGTTATGGCAGATCCTATTTTCTTGTTAATTAGGTGCTGTTCATTTTCTTCACTTCATTACTTATACCGCACCTAGAATTTATATTCATTTGGTTTAATCGTGTTCGCCTGGTTACATTCTAAACAGTTAGTCATTCAGAAAGGAAATTATTACCTCGCTCTGCCAGGACTTCCACTCTGCCTTAATTTCCCTGGAGCCTCGTTTACTTTTCTCTGCTTTTTTTCCTTTCTGGGTCCCCCTGGGCTTGGCTGGGAGCATCTGCGGCGTTTGTATCGTCGCCGGCTCGCTCCCCGTGCGCCAGGCAGCTCCCAGCCAGCGCCGTGGCTGTGCCTGCTGGGCCATGCACAGCCACCTTCAGAGACCCCCAGAAGGTGCTGACGGGCAGAGGCATTGCCCGTCGCAGCCTCGCACAGCCCAGACCGTAAAAAGGGCGCAACGAGAGAACGGGAAATTATTTCAGGTTTTTGACAGTTGTGCCCTGGTAATTCTGTTGTGTTGTTCACCCTTTTTCTGTTACTATTTTATGTCCGTCAAAGAGGCAAACTGGTAAACCAAAACGTTTTTTGCTTTGAGGAGCAAAACACATTCTTTAGCTGCTTGTTATCACTCTTAATACACAGGCACTCTTAAATATTTTAGAAACTTCCACCTCTTCTGCTCCGGAGGCAAAACGAGCCACTAACGAGCCACAGGCACTCAGATCAGTGCTCGTGCCTCGCACCTCTTTCTTGGCCTGCCTTCTGGGCTACTAGCCTTCAGCTGTGGATGCCCACATCCCCCAGCTCAAGGCTCTGGCTCAGCTCCCCCTGTGGCACAAGAGCCCAGAGGCCACTCAGCCCTCTCGCCTGTCGCGTTCCTGCTGTGCTGCCTCTGTCTCCAGCACCGGTCGCAGGCGTTGGCAGCGCCTTCCCTGTGGCCTCTTCCTCTGGTTGTTCGGCCACCTCTGGCACTTCTCCGAGCTGGTGACAGCACCGTGGTAACGGGGCTGCTCGATGGAAAGCGGATGCTCGAGTACCGGCCAGACAGCCGGCACCCGTAATGACACCCAGCCGTCGGGAGATCAGTCGGAGCCGTTGGAAATGACAGTCTATTCTCCGGCGAGCCTGGAAGGACAGGTCGCAGCAGCTCATGCAGTAACAGCACACCTCATCCCCACGCGAGGTTCTCATGGCGGCTGGTGAACTCCTGGGGTGATGGGCAGGGGTTGAGAGGGAGAGGAGCCGACTAAACCAGCCGCGGTTACTGCTGAATAAACCGAGCATCGGTTGCTGGGTTTGATTCGCATCTTTGCCTTCGTGTTCAGGCACGGGCTGAGTCGGGGAAAGTCCCCCCATACGAGGGGAAGGAGGAAAGGAGTCTGATCTGCACCCACCTTGTGGCTTTAGGTGCCACCGTGATTTCTGCCCCGAGCAGCAGGCAGAATACTGCCCAGCCTCTTCGCTGGGAAAGGCTTTCAATGACTCCTGGCAGGTTGCAACAGAAGGGTAATTGTAGCTACAAACTTCTCCGTGAAGGGAATCATTGTGCTGTTTAAACAGACCATAAAAATCCCCAGCGATGCCGATGTTCAAACAGTTAAACAGCGATTAAAGACGCCAGCGCTACAACACCCGGGCGTGTTATTTCCAGAGAAGGTGTCAGCAGCTGCTGAATTCCTGCCTTTACTGCACCGCGCTGGCGGGCGCGGGGGTCTTTATGGGAGCGGTGGCGTTATATTCAGCCTTAACTAGCGAGCGGCGCAGGTGCTGAGCTGCCTCTGAGCATCCTCTGGTTTTCAGCCCCATTTCTTGGAGCTGGGAAATGAGGCTGTTCCTGGTGCTTGCAGCGGCGCCGAGCACCAGTGCCGCTTGCGCAGGGTGTCCTGGTGGCTCCGGGGAAGGTCACGCCAAGCAGAGCTGGAGCTGGCAGCGTCACCAATGTGGTCCTCATCCCGCTGAGATGGTGTCTCCAGTGTCTGCTTCTGGGGTCACATACGCTTACCTCTAATAACCTTGGCACCAGTACAGGCTTACTAAGGTTACCCTACAGCCCTGAAGACCGCCATGTTTTGGTTTTGGTTTTGGTTTTTTAATTAGATGCTGACCAAGAAACTGAAAGGTGACAGGACAGAGAGGAGGCCAGACCCCTCTGGTCCCCGCCTGGGCTCGCTGGCCGCTGCGGAGCGTGAATGCTGCTTGGGGACCACGACTCATCTCAAGCTTTCGACTCCTTCCTGGGCTGCATCGCTCTCGCTGTCTGCCAGCCTCTTCTGTCAGAAGCGGTAAGACTTGTGACGGGACCCTACCCGTGTGTACCCGGTGAGAGAATTTCCTATTTCCATATTTCTTTTCACTCTTGAAAGGAAACTACCCCAAAAGAAAATCTGTATGAGTGAGGGGAGGAGGAGCTTCAGCAACAAATCCCACACTCTTACTCTAAAAAACTGCTGCGAATTGAGGTCTATCGGGTGTGTGAATATCACTTCCTAGTAAACATGTCTAGGCTCCGCTGTCTCTAAAGTGAACCTCTGTTGTGTTGCAGGTCCGGCTGGGTACGGCCAGCGGTGCCGCCAGCCGGAGGAGGTTGCTCTGGGGAGAGCACCGTTTCCGTCTGCCAACCATTTCTGCCCTGATCCCGCTCGCGTGCCGGTGCCCAGCAGGCACATAGTGCTGAGGCTGCGGCATTTTGTCAAACAATTTCCACAGGTTTGCTGAAGAGATCAGCAGGCACTCTCGGTTCCCCGAGTGCTGGGGTTGGTCTGGGTGCAAGGCACGCTGCTCCCCTTGGCAGCATCCTTTTTTTCCCCCAGCTTTTCAAACAGAGCGCACAGGATTTGTCCAGAAACCAGAAACAGGTCTGGCTTCGACAATCTCACTGCCTTTGCAGCCAAACATTTTTCCCATAAGAATGGATTGTGGTCTCAAAAAAGCGCATCGTGGCTGGAAGAGGGAAGTTTCCCAGAAGCTTTGCTCTGACTCGGGAGGATGGCGGGGAAGGGACTTGGGTGCAATTCCTGTTTCGGGGCTGGGGCGAGCCGGTGGGGTTACCCTGAGCCTGCGCTGCTGGTGGACAGTTGGGGCTCCAAGTGCTGGCGCCGTGCATGCCGCATAAATCTCAGCCCATGGACACCGTTAGAGCACTTGTGAGTTTATTTGCTTTACAGGTAAAGGGGTAAGGGGACGCGGGTTACATCGGCAGAGCTTCTTGAAACCAGACAGACTGCTCTTTTCCTCCCCAGTGCCCACGTGCTACCCGTCACGCTTGCGTGCCACCAGGCTCAGCACGGCTTCGCAATCCGTGCGGATGTCGCCGGGCCCATACGTCTGGACCTCGCTGAACTTCACGTCAAAGCCAGCACCCTCCACAGCTTCCTCCACCATGTTTTTCTCCAGGCGGAGGCAGGAGAAAACCTGCTTGTTGAAGGCATAGTAGGTTTCCCGGAGGACGGTGACCATCACCAGGTGTCCCCCCGGCTTCACGAGGGCACCGATGTGTTTCAGGGCGCTACGGAAGGTGTCCAGGTCCTTGCAGGCAGCCTCCAAGCAGAGGGTGGAGACGATGCAGTCGGCAGGAGGCAGGGACACGGGGTCCGTGGGGTTGGCTTTGGTCACGTCGCACTTCAGAACCTGCCTCACCTTCTTTCTCACTTTCTCCTGTTTCTCAGCCCACTTCTCCCTGGCAAGTAAATAAACAAATAAATAGATGAAGGCTCCCGTTGTGGTTATTTAGCATCTGCGCCTGTGACTTTGTGTGCGCCGTGTTCGGTGGCGGGGCAGTGGGAAGCTGGCCTCACCTGTCCCCTTCCAGCTCACAAACGTATTCCACCACTGGCTTCCAGTCGAAGGCTCCCGGTTCATTCTTCAGCCACTTCTCCAGCTCCCGGCGGTTCTGGTCCGTGTAGTCCAAGGCGATGATCTCCTGGAAGCGCTCACAAGCGGACAGAAGCTGGTAGATGGTGGGGCCGCAGCCGACGTCTATCAGCGTATCGCCCCTCAGCCCGTCTGGAGCAGAGTGGGGAGAAGACCACCCTGGTGAGTATGGAGACCGTACCCCAGGACAGAAACGCCCCAAAAGCCCCATTGGGCTGCGCTTCCCCTAACCCAGAAACGCCATCCCACGTGGCACAGACCCGCGGCGCAGCCCCATCCCCGCGGGGCAGCTCCTGCGGCGGGGTGAGAGCCCCTAGCCCTGCCCGTGGGCAGCCTGCCGCTGGAGCAGAGCCCTCTGCCCAGCCCGGAGGGCACCGTGTTCCCAGAAACCGGGACGACTCCAGCTGGAAATGCCCTGTATGCATAGATGCATACTTTTAAAAGCGCGTGTGTATATATTTAGCGCATATCTCGCCCCGTGTTGGAGCACACGCCGAGCAGTGTGCAGCCCGAGCACAGCCCTGCAAATGGCGCCGTCCGACACTGCCCAACGGCTCGGGGAGGATGCGGGGGGGGGCACGACTCACCCAGGGAGAACATCTTAAACAGGATCCTCAGGTTTTCCATCAGAAAAGTGTTCGGTTGTCCCTGGCTGTCACTCAGGGTGTAAAATTCTTTCAAATACTCCTGAGGGTCGAAACTGCGCTGGTAAACATCTACGCCCGTGAAGACTGCCGGAGCCTCCATGCCGCCGAGAGCAAACTCTGCTGCGCACTCCTCCTGCCCTTCCCTGCGTAGCCCCTTCTCTACTTTCGCTTTTAACCTCCCTCCCACGTCCTCACCCCGGGTGCCGGCCGGACACGCTCCTGCTCATCACCAGGGCTTTCTCCTCCTCTCCCCTTCCGCCCCCAGCTTCGCTTTTTCCATAATAAGTCACTATTGTAATCCCCCCAGCAGCCCCCGAGCCGTACAACCCTCTGTGCGAACGGCCGTAATTAATGGCAGTCCCCAGGATTACATTACCCGTCCCCGGCTTTACAGTAATTGACGGCGATAAACCAGTAGAGTGCGAGTCGGTACCGCCGGCAGTCGCAGCCCGACAGCTCTGTAAATGGCATTAGTGCGTCCGACACCTTCGCTCCCTAATAGCAGATTGAAGTCAGCGTATTCGGTAATATAACGTGGCAAGGAAGTTTTAAGGCCATCAGATGCCCTGGCAGAGGACAGCCAAAGTCTCTCCTGTAGGAAGGAGGACTCGCTTCCAGCCCATGGAAAGCGCCTGCTGAATTTCCCGTTCTCTTTCTCAGATTTTGCTGCTTTTGTTTTTTTCAGGTTTCCTTTGGAAAACTGCAATTTCACCTCCTCGCACTGAAAAACAGAAAATTCCCAGCCTCGCCACCCGGGTTTTGGCTCCAGAGCCGGCTGCAGACCCCACCCCCCGCCTGCACCCTGCCTGCCGGGGGTCCCTGCCCGCCCCCCGCCTGCGTGCCCCCCGCAGCCCCTCGCCCGCCGTGCCGGGTGTCGCGGAGGGGACGCGGTGGTGGCAGCCTCCTTCGCCGCCGCCGCCACGAAGAGGCAGCAGAGCCCCGCGCTTCTCACGGCGACGGGTCCCCGCAGCATCTCGTCCTCTTCCCGCTCGCCCAGCGGGAGCCGAAATGATCAAACAGTTTCAGGCTCATTACCGACTCCGAATCTATATAATTGGCCTTTGCTTTTTTAAAGATCTGCCATGAGGAGTGACAGGCGGATGAGCTGCCGTGTCATCCTCAAACTAATAAGCGCTATTTTAGATCCCGGGGTGACTTTCTTAACAAACCCTGCTCGCCGTACCGCATGCGCGGCCAGACCGGCTGATGCCAAACCAGCTGCCGAAGATACGAAGCCGAAAAAGGATGTCAGCTTGAAAGATGAATGCCCTGAAGAGGTTTTCTTCTGAGAGCAAAGCCAACAACAAGCGCTCCCTGTGACTCCGGTGCTGACACCCTGGGCTGAAACGGTCTCTAAAGCCACCGGCCCTGCGAGAGCCCCCACAGCCATGGCAAGTGGAGCCGGGGGCGAATTTGCCGCGGGATGCCAGCCCCCGAGGCAGACCACGGGCGCTCCCAGCCCTGCAGCTGGAAGCCCTAAGACAAGTCCTATTGATTCCAGGGGGTTTGTCCCTGCCACCCACAGCAGGAACGGGTGGAGGAGAGGCAGTTTTGCCCACCCATTAAATTCTTGGAGCTCAAGCAACCATTGGAGGTGCTGCACGCTACACCGAGATGCAGCCACGCAGCCTCACCCCCCAGCTCACGCACACCAGGCTGCAAGGGCGTGCTTTCGCAAAAGGCAACGTGCCAGCAGCTCAACTGACGCCAAAAATGACCACTCAGTGGTGTCTCAATTAGCGTCCCCGGGGACAGTGGCGGGGGTGGGAAGGAGCAGCGAAGCTCCCCTGCCTGGACACAGCAGGGGTGACCCGGCTGGCGTCAGCTCTGCGCTGAGCATCGCCGCGGTGGCAGCGGGGCGCAGAGAGCAGCCCGAGCCCCCAAGCCCAGCCTAAACGCTCGTGCCCTCGCCGGGTCTGCCGTTGTTGTTGTTTCAGACAGCGGGCTCAGGTACGCACAGCAGCGTGGCCCTGCGGCCGGCTGCAGCGCGGGGGCTTTGGCTCATTTCTGCTGCCGTCTGCCAGCGCAGCGCTGGCGTTTCAGTCCGTAGAGCCTGGTTTTGATCATGGGATGACACGATTCGGGGATAAAAGTGTAGATTGTCAGCACCCAGAGCGCCTCGGGGTATTTATGAGGGCGAGCGGTGGAGCATCTCGGGGCGAGCACGCCCCGGCTCAGCACGCCTCGTTGCCCGGCTGCTGGAAAAGGGATGCAGAGCCTGCCGCTGCGGCTCCCCGGGCCGGGAGCAGCCCCCCAAACGCCTCTGCCGTTCCAGCTTCCCGTCTCTATTGAAACCTCAGCTCTAGACGGCTGATTTCCATTCTTTCCCCGTACTTTTAGTTCAATCAAAGTGTGTGATTAGGGCTCTGCGGGCTCCATTGTCATCTCTACCTAAGTGCTTCTCTGATTGATATAAACAGCGTTTCGATATTTACACCGTGGAACGTATCGCTCTGCTTACTTTCCTGGCTAATGCACAAAATCTGCCATTACAGGGAGGAAAAATAACCAAAAAAACCCCCAAAGTCCCTGCAGGAAAGTGCTGGGAGGGGAGGGTCCCTCCCTGATGGGACAGGACTGTGCTCCATCACCTAACGAGGAGCACCTTGGCCTGACCCGTCCCCTGGGAGACGGGAAGTGATAAAGGGCAGCGGGGCTGGGAGGGTCTCGGCACCTGCGGCATCTCAAGGCGCTCGTGGTTTGGGCTCTGCAGGGCGCCTGCTGCCAGCGTGCCTTGTGCCGGGCTCCATCTGGGACCTGGGCGTAAGCCTCAGCAGCCCCCCCACCGGCTCCAGCCCACCCCTGTCCCCTTCCCACCCTCCTGCCGCGTCCTCACCCACGGCCCAGAGGTAAGCGAGGCACCGGGCAGCGCAGCGCCGCGTGGCACGGAGCTTGGCTGGGGCGCCCGGGAAAGGGCAAGCGCGCTTTGAGGGTGGGAAAAAAAGCACCCTTTTCGCTATTTTATGTGGTTTTTACTGGAGTGAGCTTTAGGTGCTCCCCTCCCTCACGTTTGCCGGAATATGTGTAAAGAAAGGACCCGAAAAGCAAATGTTTCGAGTCTCGGATACTTTTTGGAGAAGGGAATGACTATTCTTTTGCTGAAAACAGTGCTTGTTTGAAAAAAAAAAAAAAAAGCAGAGACAGTTTGGCTTTTAAAGGATAAAATGCACTTGTTTTCTGAACCACAACAGCTCCTCAGGGGCTTCTTGCGAACTCCACAGCTTTCTCCCGTGAGCTGCGTTGGGCTTCCCCGGGTGGCAGCTGCCGGGGGGGTCTGTGGGTCGCTGCGGGGCAGGAGAGGCGGGAATACAGCTACTCCCGAAGGGTATCCCTCGGGATACCGGTGCTTTGGATGGAGTTGGTGGGAAGCGCGGTGGTTGGTCGTTTCGGTTGTTGCGGAAACATTTCAAGTTTCTTCCTGCGTTTTACTTGATCAAAAGTATTATGCTTTGAGTTTCCTGTCGGGCTTGGAGGAATACCCCCCTGCTGCCCTGCCTTTCCCTCTGCCCCCTTCCTCCCAGGGCCAGAAGCAAGTGCAGAGGCTCAGCCGATTTTCTCACTTGCACCTACACCGATATGACCGTAGCTAAATTATCTCTAAGTACCCAACAGGCCGGCTGCTGGGACCTTGCCCAGGTCTCGCCCCGCGGCTGCGGGTCCCAGCGAGGCTCCTGCCGGCGGCGGGGAGCGGGAGCAGCCGGGGCCGGCCGGCACAGCGCCGGGAACAAAAGATGCTTCTCCCTCCGCGTGGTGCAGAGGATCCGAACAAAAGGTTCACGTTCCCCTGCGCTCGTCTCTTTTTTTCCGCCTCTCGCTCTCCTTTCTTTTCTCCTGCTCTTCGATGGAGATTTAAACCGTTCTTTTTCTGGTTTAAATCTCTCTGTGCTGCAACAAGAAACTGGCAATTAACTGTTATAAGGCTGTTTTACAGTCCTGTGGAAACCTTTTCCATCCACTTTGTTTTAAATGGGTGTATCTTTTATTCCTAGTTTTCGGGAGCGTAAAACTTTACGGCATTTGCTGCAAACCTTCATACTTTGCTTTGCAGTTTATTGCTCCCTCTGCAGATATATCTTACTCATAAATAAGGCTTCCATCTCTACAGTACTCGACTAGGAACCGCAATGCCTCTGAGCCGTTTCGCTAAGGGGACTTTTTGCCTAGAAATCGCGGCGTGATTCATCTCCACCCTCGGTCTCCCCCTCGCCCGACAGTGCGGAGTTTGCCGCGAGAGCCCTGGTTGCTCAGCGGGGTTATTCACGCCCCGGCCGGCAAATCCCTGTGGCTCCGGGAGAGGTGGAAGAGGCTCTGGGAATTTTGGGTACAAGCTGGGTTGGGTGGCTGACCCTTGGATGCGAACACGCTGGCCCGGGGCAGGACCACTTGGCCGGCGAGCGGGGACAGATGCCGGGGATGAGGTAGCCGGGGCGTTGGGTGCCCGTGCGCTGCCCCACGGCTCGTCGCGCCGGGCTGCGCCGCAAACCTCTTCCCACAGCATCGTGCCGGGGACACGGGTGCTCTCCGCTGTTTGTGGTGGCATCAAGCCCCGACTGCGGAGCCGGGATGCATCGCAGTGAGAAGCTGCTTGTGGAGGCTGATACCTGCGAAGGAGGAGCGTTTGCTCACAGACAGACTCTTAGGACCGTGTCCCTCCTGGGTGCCGACCAAGGCTGAGTCAGCAGAGCAGCAGCAGCTGAGCTGTACCGACCTACTCGTGCTTGGCAGGCGGCTTCAGGTGGAGCGTTTCCTCTCTTTAATAGGGATTGTTTACAGGTTACTTTAAAAAAACCACACCTCTTTATTTTCCCTCGATTTGCAATGAATGTGGCTGTTCTCAGCTGCTGCTGTATGAGGGGCAAGGAGGGACGGATTTGGGTTTCCTATGGTGGTCTGAGGTGGGCACACCAGTGCCCAATGCCCACCCTGTAGCTTGTATCGCGGTGGGAGCGCTACGGGGGGGCTCTCTCTTCCCCGCCTGCCTGTTTCACTGAGCCCCAAAGAGATGCGCTGTGCTTGACACCCCTGCCTGCCGCTGGCACTGGCCCCCCTGCCCAAAGCGCCGGCCGGGACAGTGGGCGGCACGCTTGCCAGCGCCCA